TTCTTATTTTTCACCCTTGCCCAGCCCTCCCTTCAACCCCTCCATTCCTCCATATTTACAGATTTTGTTCCTATTTTTCCATTTTCTTATATTAATTTCATTCCCTTTCCTTTCCCCTACCCCTCCCACTTCCTTCCCCTTTGCCCCTTTTCTTCCTATTTCACATTACCTATTGTACATTTTAGACCTTATTTACACTTTTAGTTTCTCACACCAGAGAAGCTATTCAGAATTTATACATGTGTGTCCTATTTATTTCACTTAAGAGTATCGCCTCAATGTGCATCCACTTAGCTATAAATGTCTGTAATTTCTCATTTTTTATGGCTGAGTAGTACTCCATTTTATAAAAAAACCCACACTTTCTTTATCCAGTGTCCAATTGATGGGCATTTCTTCCTATCATAAATATTGTCAATGATCTCAACCTGAGGTGATTTTTTTGCAGCTTCCATTGGGGACATTTGACAATATCTGGAGACGGTTTTGGTAGTCATAACCAAAGGAGGATGTGCTATTGGCATCTAGCAGGTAGAGGCCAGAGTTGCTGCTAAACATTGCACAGTGCATAGAACAGCCACCAGACCAAAGATTTACCTTCCTCAGAATGGCTGTAGTGCTAGGGTTGAGAAACCTCAGTCTAAGAAAAAAAGGGAGCAGGCTAGTAGAAGTAGCCTAGAACGAAGACCTCTGACCCACCCCGTCCAATCAAATTCTTGACTTAAACCCCTAGTAGATAAAAGTGCTAGAGTTGCCACAGTGCACACAGATCCTGAGCTGAACTCTGTAATTATTCTCCAAAATAATAGTGTTATGTTTTTGCAGTTCTTAAACTTAACTAGAGGCTGCTGTTCACTACATTGTGAACTGCTAGCACTGGAGTTGGGTCCTACACATTTCTATATCTATTATTCCTGGAATCTTTCACAGCGATGTAGTAGGAGCTCAATAAATCACAGTGATTCATTTGGAATCTTCTAAAAGTTTTAATTTAAAAAAACCTTAGTTGTGCTGATATCCCACGTAAGTCAGTGTCAGTCTTATGTTAACTATTTCAGTGCCTACTATGTACCCCATTTAAACATGGACTTCATTATACTTGTAGTGTAATAGAGAATACTGGCAAATACCGTTGTACCTATAATATAGTGTAGCAGGTGCTACTGTAACCAAGACAAAGGTCCCATTATGTTGCTACTGAATAAGGCCAGTAACTCAAGAGACAGAGTGATGGGAGAAGAAAAAGTTTTACCAATAACAAGTTGGCTTGGAAGATGGTGGGTCAAACAACCTTAGTGACCATCTTGCTGTTCAAACTCGAGATTTTGATTTTTGCAAGAGAAGGTGTGCAGGTCCCAGATAGTTGGACACCAGGGTTGTTTATTAATCTTATTTATATGAAGGTCAGTGAGCCTGTGAATCTAAAAGAAAATATAAATAACTAAAATTCTGTTGATCCATGTCTGGCTATGGCCAGTTCTTGCTACATGCTCTTCTGGCTGTCATTACTCCAGGTGTGACCTCTCCCTGTAGCAGGGGTCTAAGGAGTTTTCAGGAAAAGAAGAGTATAGGGAGTTTGTAGCTAGCATTTGTGTGCAGCTTCATTAGGCAGGAAAAAAAATAAATCTAAGCTTGGGGAAAGAATTTAACTTGTGCCGGGAAATTTTTTCTTTAACCCATTAGGTGGTTTCACTATGGTAAGGGAGGTACAGGTCCAGTGTGCTGGTGGGAACACATAAAAGGCTCTCTTAACTGCACTCAGCCTGGGGGATCTAGTAAAGCTTTCATGAGAGGAAATCTAAAGTTAAGAATCGAAGACTAAGGAGTCACTCAGATCAAAAAAGTGGGAAGAGAAGGAATAGTAATGTGTAGGCCAAGGAAACAGTATATATCAATATTCAGGGGGCAAAAAACATGCATATTTGGAATGGCATTCTTTAAGGCTGAAGCAGACACTATAAGGAGGTGAAGGGTGTATTCTAATGATCCCTGTATACTTAGCACACGTTATAGCTCTCAAAGCATTCTCAGATACTACTTTTGAGGGAAATGAGAGAGACTGGTTGGTGGAAAAATCATACATCTCATCATATTCTATTTCTAACTTAGTTTATTTATATTATTGTTTGAGAAAATATATGACAAATTTAAGAGAAAATAAAGGATTTTGCTTCCTTTCCCTTCTCTCTATGGGTTATTAAAACAAAACAAAGAAGTAAAGTGAAAAGGGTCCCCTTTCACCAACCTCCTTCTCTCAACCTCTCTAGCTTCAAAAACTCTACTTGCTGACTGCCCAAATCTCAAACCCAGGATTGCAGGGAACAAGCAAAGGTGACGTTACTATAACCTCTGCAGTAAGTCCTGGTCTCCTATGAGCCACGGCAGCACAAGGCGAATTACAGGAAAGGTAGAAAAAATGAGACTGAGAAGAAGCGGAGCTTTGGGTCTGACCAGTGCTGCTCTGGGCGGCAAAGACGAAAGCCCCCAGTTTACCGCACCTTTTCTTCAGTACTCAGTACATCGGGAGAAACAAATGTAACGAATGACTTGCAGAGAGTTCAGTACATCCGCATAAATAAGATGGTAACAGTCCAAGAACAATGAGGAACTGAGTAGATGTTTGTTCCTCCCAGGATGTTTTCAACTCTCAGAATGTTTCTTGTCCAGGAGAATCACAGGATCACCGGATCATTGAGATCTCAGTTGTGACCGGAGGCCAAAATGGAATTATGTCTCGGAATTCCATAGCTGGGCTGTAGGCAGGAGAACTAGGCTAACCAAATGATTTTTCTCTAAAATTATGTAGCATTGCTCCCCGACACAGGATGTCTTTTGAGAAGATAAAACTTCTTTAATTTGTGGTGTTCTCCAGGCAAGGGCCGCTTCCCTGGGATCATCGACCTATTTGGAAGCAGTGGTGGCCTTTGTGAATACAGAGCCAGCCTCCTGGCTGGACATGGTTTTGCTGTGCTTGCTCTGGCTTACTTCAGATTTGAGGACCTTCCAGAATATTTGAGTGAGTTGCGCTTGGAGTACTTTGAAGAAGCAGTAGGCTTTATGCTTCAGCACCCAAAGGTAAGCACCCAAAGTTAGCATCTGAGGCTCACCTAAATGCAGAAAGGAAGTAGAGTGAATACAGGGCTGGACCTAGAAACCCTATCAGGATACTGGGGGCTGGAAATATGCATGAAGACACAAGGGCTCCCTTGAAAGTTATTAGGATTATTATTTCTTTTTCTTTTCTTTCTTTCTTTTTTTTTTGGTACCGGGTATTGAACTCTGGACCTTGTGCTTTTGAGGCAGGTGACAGAACCACTGAACAGCCAAGGATTATTATTTCTATCTCCACCCATCTCCCCCATCTCTTAGGACTTGACTGTTTGGTTCCCTTTGTGTTTACTGTAATTCAAAGAGCACTGGGTCAAGAAAATACTAACCTTGAGTCCTTGTTCTACATGTGTCACATAGTGGCCTTACCATCCTGAATAAGCCTCTGGGGCTTAATTTTTCTCGTTTATAGTATTGATATGAATGTGTAGTGAGAACATTTTTACTATAAAGAGATATTTTTGAGGGAATTTGAATAGGAACAATGTTTTGGTGATATTAAGAAATCGTCAGTATTAAGTGTGATAGTAGTGTTATAGTTTTATTTCAGATGTCTTTATCTGATAGCAGAAAACATTTTGGTATGATTATAAATGGTTTATAAGTTTAAAGAGACCCAGGAATTGGGCCAGGGATTTAGCTCAGTGGTTTCACCGCCAGCTGTGCAAGCGCAAGGACCCAAGTTCGATCCCCGGTACCAAAAAAAAAAAAAGAGACCCAGGCATTCTAATGTTAAGAAGTAAGGTGTGTTAAGCACAAGGACCCGAGTTCAATCCCTGGTACCAAAAAAAAAAACCCAGGTGTTTTGTAAGGGGTACAGGATAGTCTGACCTTTTTGTGGTCCAGGGACTGGTCTCTTAGCAGAGCTGCTAAAATCTAGATGATCTCAAACTGTGAAGGTTAGTTTATTAGAAAATAAGAGACCAATATACACTTCCAGTTCTGTCCTGGAAAGAGGGTCTTCTGGCCTGGATCCTGTTTTAAATTGCTATCCTTTGGCCCTCTATTGGCTGGACTACTGTCTGTAGGATGAGGAGTCTAAGGGTCATGGAAATGTGTTCATCAGGAACTGTATGCTCCTCACCATGCTATTGGGACCTGGAACCACAGAATTCTCTGTCTGACAGCTCCAGACCCTGGAGCTGATCCAGTTTCCAGGCCTTAATGCTCCTTCTCCGGGTCTATCAGTTTCTGTATACCTAGGCCTTAAACATGTAGGCTGAGTATCCAAACACATGTGTGAGAGACCCCTTAAGGTGTCTTCCCAAGGGATGGGAAGAGAAAGAGGATCGGCCCAGGTCCAGGGTCTAGGGTCAGTGGCTGGCTCTTCTCCGTGCCACACTCCAATACAGAATTCCAGTGAATTCTAAAATTTTTAATTTGAACCTGACCTTATAAATTGTTATGGTGGTATCAAGGCAGGAAAGAATATATTTATTTAACAGATTATTTATTTAATTTACATATAAGAGCCTCTGTATACTCTTGATCCAGTCTTCATAAATACTAGGGGATAGCTTGCATACTAGGCAATCAGTTGATTGGCAATAGAAGAAACACTGGAACTTTGTAGATTATTACATAAAGCAAATTATATTTGAGAAAGTTACTTAAAGAATGTAAAATTTCTGTTTATGTCCTCCTTTTGTTAATTCTAAGCTTGTTCTTCTTCTCTATTTTTATCAGGTGAAAGGTCTTACTATTGGGCTTCTTGGTTTCTCCAAAGGAGGTGACCTGTGTCTCTCGATGGCATCTTTCTTGAAAGGTATCACAGCCACTGTACTTATCAACTCCTGTGTGGCCAACACAATAGTTCCTCTTCATTACAAGGATATGATTATTCCTGATCTCCACAATGACCTACAGAAACAAAAAACCACTGAATCAGGCCTTTTGAATATGGTGGATATTTGGAGCAACCCACAGGAGGAACCTAATTGCCAGAGTCTTATTCCACTGGAAAAGGCCCAGGGACCCTTCCTGTTTATTGTTGGCATGGATGATCATAACTGGAAAAGTAGCTTCTATGCTAATATAGCCTCTGAACAGCTGCAAGCCTGTGGGAAAGATAAACCCCAGATAATCTGCTATCCAAAGACTGGTCATTGTATTGACCCACCTTATTTTCCTCCTTCTAGAGTGTCTCAGCATGCATTATTGGGTGAAGCGGTATTCTATGGAGGTGAGCCAAAGGCTCACTCGAGGGCACAGGTGGATGCCTGGCAGCAAATTCAAACTTTCTTCCAAAAACATCTCAGTGGTAAAAAATCTGTCAAGCACAGCAAAATATAACATTGCAATTATAGATCAAATACCACTCATAAAAATCCTAATCATACAACTTCTGTTGGGTTTCCCAGAGCACCTAGGAAACTTTTTGTAATAAAGCAAGCAGCTCGGCTTCCTTGGCAAGTCCTACTGGATTTTAATTGCAACCCTCCTTTATTCCCTGTCCACCCTTCACTCCCCTGAACATCACCAATGTATAGGTTTAACCCAGATCTCATCTGTAGGAACAGTTTTAACCTTAGCCAAAAGACTGCTTGCCCGACTCAGGCAATGGCCTAGCTTCATCTTTTGTGTCCCAAGTCTAAGGACTAAACTTCTGTATTGTTCTGAAGTCCCATATTCTCTTTGAACACTAGGAGATCTTGTCTGAGCCTTGGGAACCTGCCCAATAGAGTCCTTAAGGAATGGATTCTGCCTTATTCTTTTTTTCCCCTCAGCAGTGGGGATTTAACCTAGGGCCTTCACATAGAGTTGCATTCCTGAAAGTTTACTCATGACTTGTCCTTCTGAAGACTGGGGACATTGTACCTGTTGATAAACTTCCTTTATTATGTTCACCATCTCTGGATTCCCTGATTGCCTGTCTAGAGGAATGCGCTGATGCCAAAATTTTTAGGACTACAAAACCTGTAGACCATGGCCTTCAACTTTGGATGTCTTGTTATACTTGCCAAATCAAACCTCCTCCCACCCCTATCTGCTCCTCTTCCCTTCTAACTGGAAAGCACTGATATCTGTCTGCTTACGCCCACCACAGTTGAACCACTATCTAGAGTCCCGAGGTACTAGAGTAGAGGTCTTCCCTGAGCACAAGAAATTTTTTCTGAGACTTGGGCACATACAAAATCTTTCACCAAATTGGGTATGTCAGAGTACATGATCATTACATCCTAACTAATAAAAAAAAAAAAAGATTCCTTAAAGGTAACTTAATTTTGACCCGTTGTTAAAATATTTCTGAGTACAGTCCTTCATCTTATAGCATAATTTTCTATGATGTGAATTCTCGTATCCTCTGCTTTATCTCCCTCCCAGGCAGGCAGGCCACTCTAGTTATATTCTTGGGATAAAGAGAAGCAACTAGTTCCACAAAACTTACAACATCCATAAAATAAAAGCAAAGCTTAGAAATCAATTTCTCCCAGATATTGTACTAAGAAACATTAAATAATACAACTCAGCTAATTTTTTTTTTTGGTACTGGGGATCGAACTCAGGACCTTGTGCTTGCAAGGCAGGCACAGTGCCACTGAGCTAAATCCTCAGCCCCAACATTAAATAATATAAAAGGTTCCTGTGCAGTATGTATAAATCTCAGGCTCTACCACTTACTATGTGGTCTTGAATAAGTTGTTTCTCTGGTCTGTTGTAATTAAATTAGATAATCTACGTATAGCACTTAACATATTTCAACTTTTTTTTTTAAGATGGTCTCACTACATAATTCAGACTGGCCTTGAGCTCTCTATGTAGGTCAGGCAGGCCTCAAACTCATGGCAGTCCTGCCTCAGCCTCCTGAGTGTTGGGATTACAGGCATGTACCACAATGCCCAGCTTTATATATATATATATATTTTTTTTTTTTTTTCAATTTGTGTTCAGGTTTCATCTTTTTAATCAGCTCTGAAGGACATCCTAAACACTACATGAGACACAAAAGAATATTTTCTCGGGCCCAGAATTTAGCTCAGTGGTTCTGCCACCTGCCTTGCAGGCTCAAGGTCCCGCATTTGATTCCCGGTACCAAAAAAAAAAGAATATTTTTTCTTCCAGTATTAAAAAAATGACAGTCAAATATTTTCAACAAGCTCTTGTCACGATGGTAGATCTTGAATAAAAAACAGCTCTAAGCAATCATTTTTGATGCAGACTGCTTACAGGTACATTAAAAAATCTAGTCATGATAAAAATTTTGTACAAGTTTTAAAAATGGCCCTAGATACATGTTGATTTAAAAAAAATCAGTCTGGCCAAATTTTTTTTGCCACAAGCAATAATCCTGAGAGTCCAAATTAAAAACTTTATAAAGGAAAAAAAAAATCCCCATACTCTACAAATGTCCCAGAAATTTGTCTTTAAATGGGGGGAAAATTGAACACATAGAGCTTTCTAAAAGGTCTTTAACAAGGTACCTTGGGAGCTCAATTCAAAAGCAGGTAATATACTAAAACAGAAGTTTAACGCAGCTCCAAAAATATATAGCAATTTGGAAGGACGATCCTGGACCAGGAGTGTTATTCCTTGTGTATGTCATTTGTACATGCTCCTCAGTTGTCGTAATTGTCTCTGTAATTCCCTCCTGAATAGCAGTCAAAACCACCCTGGCTTCTGCCACTACAGTCGCTGGACCACCCATATCCATATCCATATCCTCCAGGTCGACTGACATACCTGCCACTCCCATACTCGTGGTCCCCAACGCCTCTAGAGTAGCTGCAATTGAGTCCATGGGCCCCAAAGGCACTCCCTCCTCTGGTGCCCCGGGCAGATTTGCCTGCGTGGTCCACACGGATCTGGCGACCATCCAGGGACTCTCCATTCATGGCCCTCATGGCATCTGAGGCCTGCTCTGGATTGGTGGAGGTGTTGAAGCCAAACCCCCACAATTGCTGAGTTACCCGGTCCTTGACAACAACCACCTCAGAAATAGCCCCGAAGCTGCTGAAGTGGTCTTCCAGAGCCTGCTCATTGGTGTTGAAGTTGAGCCTGCCGACGAAAAGCTTCCCCTCTTCAGAAGACATGGCAGTGAATTCGAGTCCTGGGAATTAGAAGATAATAAGGCCACAGAGACAGCAAGCTTCAAGGAACACAGAGAACAGGGAGCCCAGCTTCATATTTTAACTTTTAAATATTAGCTTTTTTTTTTTTTTTTCAGACAAGGAAATTGAAACCCAGGAGGGTTAAGAAACTGGTTGGTAGGATAGCTGTGTGTCTGAAGAGATGGGGACCTTGGCTCAGCCCAGGCAGGATTTTGATGTATTATTGTAAAAAGCATTTCAGGATGTGTCAGTGACATATACAGGCTGATTTATTAATTATCCAGAGTTAGTGAGGAAAAACAGGGAAGGGGCTTAAACTTGAGGAGCTGAGGGAATCACAGTTCTGATGAAGATCAGACTGGCCTGTCTACAAAGGGAAGGGACTAGCCTTTAAGCAGTTGCTGAGATGGGCTAGGGTCTAGGTAATTATTATTGCTGTTCTGGTTTTGCCAAGTGGCTCCAGAGAAGTCCTTATCATTTGAGGGAGCAATCTGGTCTCCATGAGATGATTATTTCTGCTTGAGGAAGTCTCAGTATTGCCAAGGCTGTCCTGGAATCCAAGATGAGGTAGGTTTAGGGCAATGACTGGAGACTTCTAGGCACCCCTTGATAACTGAAAGTTGCTGTAAATCTCTCATCTTGATTCCTCAGTCTTGGGAGGAGACGAGACAGTTTATGTAAATTTAGGGATAATCAACCTTGCATTGCCAGTTTTTCGACAGACACTCCCTCAGTGATTAACATGCCTCAATGCAGAGTAAGCAGGAATTTGACCCAAAGCTTTAGATAGACACAAAATGAAGGTTGGGGCCGGGGGATTTAGCTCAGTGGTTTCGCCGCCTGCTGCGCAGGCGCAAGGACTCGAGCAAGGACTCCATCGCCGGTACCAAAAACCCCCCAACAAAATGAAGGTCAAACTTTGTTCTGCTTAGTTACCAAGTGGCATGTGGGTCCAAATGAAGAGTAACTATATTTTAGCAAAAGCAGTTTTTAAATCCCTGATTGCCTCAGAAAAAAACCCAAATCATTCTTTTAATGAGTAACTAGTTAAGAACCAGAAGTGTACCTGCTCTTTGTCCCGTGGTGATCTCTGGCTGTCTCAAGTCCAACTCCATTCCCCATGGCCCTCATTGACCATTTGGCTCTACTGCCATTCATCCTGAGAATACATGCTCTAAAAATCCAGAGCTACACTGTAAGGACCACGGGAAAGTTACGTTATGGTCACATAATGGAAGCTTCATAAACCAAGTTGGAGAGGTTAGATTTGAAATGATAAAAAATAAGTACCCATTTTTAACATAATTTGTTTTTAAAAGGCTGCCATTAAGTTTTCCTTGAGATTTAGTGGCTCAAAGCAGTTTAAGCCTAAAAGGAATTCAATCAGCGACAGTTTTAAAAAGGAAAATAAGGGCTGGTGATTTAGCTCAGTGGTTCCACCACCTGCTTCGCAAGCGCAAGGACCCGAGTTCGATCCCCGGTACCAAAAAAAATGAAAACAAAAAATTATTGGAGGCCAATTAGTCTTCCGACTGCCTAGAAACGGGGACAGAGAGGGCTGAAAAAAAAAAAAAAGACTTGCATAATTTCAAGTATGGGGAAGAGGGGTCAGTGCCTCAGAGTAGGCTAAAGAAAAAGACTCCAAGCGTGCCACTAATTAATTATTGGGTTGGTTCATAAGGAGTATCAGATGACTCATAAGGCAGTAATAATTCTAAATTCACGAGGATCTTAAAATCTGAGGGAGTATCAGATGTCTCAGTAGGCAATGATAATCCTGAGTTCATGAGGATTTTATGCTGATGTAATCTTTCCCCTGAGCATCACAACATCTCCCAACAATAAATCAGTAGACGTAAGCAAGTTGAGAAGAGAATGATGGTTACCAGAGGATGGAGAGAGTAGGGAGGAGACAGTCGGGGGAAAGGTTACATATAGGAGTAAGAAGTGCATGCCATTACATAGAAGGGTAACTGTCAATAATGATAATGTGTCGTATATTTCAAAAAGCTAGAAGGATTTTGAATGTTTTCATCATAATGATATCATAAATGAGAAGATAGACATGTTTAACCTAATTTAAACACTGCACAGTGTATACAATCAAAATGTCACCTGGTATCCCATAAATATGTGCAATTGTTATACTTTCAGGTATTATTTAGGTATTTTAAAATAAATTCAACAAATAAAAAATAAAATATATATAACCAAATTCAACTAATTGTTCTGCTTTCCTTCATAAACTCAGTATCTTTGACTGTACTTCTAACAAAGCGAGAAAGGCCAAGAGACAACTTTGAAAACAAATATGTGGTTTGTCAACCACTAGTCATTTTAAATATATATATATATATATATACATACATACATACATATATATATATTTTTGGTACTGGGGATCAAACTTGGGACCTTGGCTTTCGAGGCAGGCGGCAGAACCACTGAGCTAAATCCCTGGCCCCTTAAAAATATTTTTAAAAATTTAAAGTATTTGTACAAACCCATTTCATATTTCAGGCACTGAAAACACAAACAGTTCTTATTTCTTCCAAAATATCACAACTAAGCTTTTTTATATACTCATTTATGGTTACTGAACTCTGGGAAGACTAAAGCTTCTGGATGGCTTGTAGTTTTTCAAATGTTAGCATGCAGTTATGTATAAAACCCAATATTCATAGACAGTATAAAAATGGATTTGGAGCAGAAGTCAAAATTATTTGAGTTGTTTTTCTCAAAGTAGGGTCAGCCATATACATATAAGTATGACTGAAGAACCAAAGACGGGAGGACTTTAACAAGTACTTTTTCGGGGGTTTTTTTTGGTACCGGGGATGGAACTTGGGCCCTTGTGCCTGCGAGGCAGGTGGCAGAACCACTGAGCTAAATCCCTGGCTAACAAGTACTTTTTAAAGAAAACAGGTTGTTGGGGGATTTAGCTCAGTGGGGCTGCACCTGCCTGGCAAGTGCAAGGTCCTGAGTTCAATCCCCCATACCGACAAAAAAAAAAAAGGGAACAGGTTGTTGGATGGCTCTAAACCAGAAATTCTTGGTGCAAAAGCCATAATGTTTCAGTAGCAAATAGATTCAAAAATCAGGATAATTATAAATGAAATAAATGATTATTTTATGTATGGGTAACTGAAATAAAATATTTGTAAATAGGAAGGGGATCAAGAGATGGAGGGGGATGGAGGGCAGGGAAAGAGGATGAAGAAAGGAATTAAGATGTGTTATGTACATGTAAGAATTCTACACAAGAGGGCCAGGGATTTAGCTCAGTGGTTTCAGCGCCTGCCTTGCAAGTGCAAGGTCCGGAGTTCGATCCCCAGTACCAAAAAAAAAAAAAAGAATTCTACACAAGGAATGTAAACATTATGGGCTGCACACATATACTAATAAAAATAAATTTTAAAAATTTCAAATTAAGGGGCCGGGGATTTAGCTCAGTGGTTCTGGCGCCTGCCTCGAAAGCACAAGGACCAGAGTTCGATCCCCGGTACCAAAAAGAAACAACAAAAATTTCAAATTAAAAATATTTGCAAATGGAAGTTTCCCAAAATGCAAGATTTACATATACACCCCTCTTCCTTGACAAACAGTTCAATGGAATGTGTAGGTTAATTAACTTCATTGTAGACATGCATCTAAATAAGATACTCTGTAGTAGAAAACAAATTTTATGTAAATAACAATACATTCTTTTTTTTTCTTTTTTTCTTTTGGTACCGGGGATCGAACTCTGGTCTTTGCGCTTGCGCAGCAGGAGGCGAGACCACTGAGCTAAATCCCCGGCCCAACAATACATTCTTCACTGTAAAAGATTCAAGTAATACAGATAAAAGATTCTCTTAGCTCATTACCCAATTCCAGTCTTCTACGGAAAAGTTACCAACTTGAAATGTACCCTTCCAAAACCATTTTTATCCATATGCATACAAATCTATGTATTAATAAAAACTACAGTTTTATTTTGTGGAATCAACACTTTCTTTAAAAAACCATAAAAATAATACATTTTGTTTTCTGTATACAAAAATATACACTGTTGATACTGTGCCAGGCCACAGAACAGTATTTCTTCAAGGTATAAATCTGAGTAGTTCAGCATTCTCAACAAAAAAGCAAAAATCGTGCTCCCTCATCTCCATCTGATAGCTGGGCTAGTTTGGGGGCTCTGGCATTCAACTCAAGGGACGTTCTCTGCACTCCCTTCTGTCCTCATCCCCTGCCATTTTATAGTTTACTTCAGTGTCTCATCTGAAACGTTTCAACTTTAACAGTTTTTTTTAAATCGGAGCCAAAGATTATTTCAAGGAAGGAAACGAATATGGCAGTTGCCTCGTGCACTATTCAAGCCGATTTAGGGAACAGCCGTCCCCCAATAGCCAGTGAGGGATTTAAAAAAAGGCAAGCGGGAGACATTTTCTGTCAGAAATCATTAACTTCTCCTTGGACTCCTCGAGGAACGGGCTCGGATGAGATCCTGCCTCTTTCAGACGGTGTCCCCAAGGGCCCGGTTTCGTTGCGCGACCTCCCGCACCCCGCGCGCACCGGGCCGCGACGTCCTCGCCTCCGTCTGGGCGCCACCATCCCCGCGCCATGTGGCGGGCCGCCCGAGCTGCTCTCCGAACCTCCGGGGCGCCCCTCCAGCCCCGGAGATCAACGTCCACATCGTCCTTTCTGCTTCAAAAGGCAGCGAACCTGACCATCACGCCCAAGACCGGGATGGCGGACGAGCTCCTGGATATTCGGGTGGAAGGCTTGGGCCCCGGGGGGGGGGGGGCGGATGACCCTGCTGGCGGCGGCCGTCAGCCTCCGAGGCCACCTCTTCCGCTCGCTCGCCCACTACGAAGCGGACGGCCGCGGGGCACAGGACCTGGCCCGCGACCCGGCTCTGGGCGGCGACTTCACGGGCGTGAGGTCCATGGAACTCCTGTGGAGCCTCACGCCGGCTGGCCCGGAGGAATCCTGCCTCAGACAGATGCCGAGGGGCGTCATGAGAAGCCCCCTCAAAGTGGAGGTGACGGTCCACTCCACGCCGCGGCAGCCCCGGGAGCCGCTGGGCCGGCGCTGGACTCTGCGCAGGTTCTCCACGCCCGAACGCCACCCCACCCGCCTAAAGGCCGTCCACCTGCGGGCCGTCTTCCTGCTGCCGCCAGGTGCTTGCAGCCCTTCAACTCAAACGGCCTGGCTTTGCGCTGGGGGAACTGACAGGCTGGCTGGCTTTGTTATCTGAAAACAACGCGCTCCTTAACTGCTTTGCCTCCTGTGCATCGAGTGGAATATTCATTCCCCTAAATGGTGGCTAAGATCAAATTTTGCTTGGCTACTTTTCTTATGCCAGCTGCCCACCTTTCAAACTCCTAGTTCTGCAGACACGGTTCCTTGTCATTATACACTGTGCTTGTTCGCTGTATACTAAACATAAGATTGCAGCAGTTTCTAGCATGAAATGCTAGTTTGCCTACTACGCATCTTTTAAGTGGAGCTTTGTGTTAATCTAACCTTTCCTGTTGCCGTTGTTTCTTGTTTAAAATGACAAGAATAGTAGCTTCAAAACTTTGATAGCTCTTCAAACCCCCAAAGGATTTTGCCCAATAATACTGTTTACCTTCCCATACTGACTTCATGATAGGATAAATGAACTTTAAATTGCTATTGTCTGATATATTCTAATGCCTCAAAGACATTCACTACGATGAGAAAACTGTTTTGCTGTCTATTTCACAGATCAAAGAACACCTTCTTTATACATAAGGAAACCAAGGCCTAGTATTTTAACCAAATCAAATAGCTAGGTGGTGCTAAAATCACGGTGCCAGTCAAATTCTCTGAGTGGAGCTTCGTTAACACAAGTTGAATGAATGAATCAATGAATGAAATAATCAGAGTTGCCATTTTTGAGAACCTAATCAGGTTTATCCCCTACTCTCATCCCCAGGATCCAACTAAGAATGTTTTTCTTTTCTTTTTTCTTTTTTTTTTGGTGGCACTGGTACTGGGGATGAAACCCACCACTCTACCATTCTACCCCTGAGCTACATCCCCAGTCCTTTCTATTTTTTGAGACAATCATGCTAAACTGCCCAGGCAGGATTTGCAATCTCTCTGCCTTGCCTGGCCTCACAAAGTGCTGGGATTGCAGGTGTGCACTACTTCACCCATCACCACTACAAACCTTTAAAATGAGAGATTTAAAACATTTTCATAGTTAGGGGATAAGGGGGACACTTTTTGGATATAATGTATAAAGCCGAAGCAGATTAGGGATTAAGTTACTAAATTGAAACAAATAAGTTCTTAATCATTTAAACATGGTGGTCAGGATTGTTTCTTGAAGTCAATGGTTGGAAAACTCTATTCCCAGAATGATGTGATATTCTATAAAATAGGTATATATGTGTAAATACACATAGATACATTCAAATGCCTCTATATACATATCTATGTATGTATGTGTGTGCATATACATACTGTATATAAATATGTATATGTGTATAAATAGTGATTTGCTTTAAGCTTTCTGGAATTAATCTTGAATCCAGAAATGCTTGAGATTTATCTACTTTTAAAAAGAGACAGATCAAACTTTTTTTTAAAAAGCATTATACCACAGCAATATATGAACACCCATTTTATAGCAGCACAGTTTGTAATAGCTACATCTTGGAAACAGCCCAAGATGTTTTTTTAATGTACAATGGAGTACTACTCTGCCATAGAAAAGAATGAGCTTCAGATATTTATAGCTAAATGGATGGACCTTGAAACCATACTCTTAAGTGAAATAAATCGGATACACATGTTTAAATACTGTATTGCTTCTCTGGTGTGAGAAACTGAAAGTGGAAATAAGGACTGAAATGAGTAATGGATGCTGGGAAATGGGAAGAAAGTGTTCAAATGGGAAACGGGAACAAGGGAGTAGGGAGGGAAAAAGGAAGGAAAGGACAAGTAAAAAAGTGAAAATAGAAGGGAAAAATGGAAACAAAACTTTTGTAGACAGGGAAGGGAGGGGGCTTGGGGGGGAAGGGGATAAAATAAAATTCACTTTTAAAAAAGAGACAGATCAAGCCTAGCATGGATGAGGCGCTCTTCTTAATCTCCAGCACCAAAAAAAAAAAAAAAAAGGAAAAAAGAGACAAATGAAAATATGCAAAGATATCTTTTTTTTTTTTTTTTTTGGTACCAGGGATCAAACTCAGGCCCTTGCACTTGCAGGGCAGGCGACGGAACTACTGAGCTAAATCCCCAGCCCGCAGAGATATCTTAATGTTAAGAAAATCACCCTTGTGCTGGGGATGTAGATCAGTGGCAGAGCCTTTGACCAGCATACCTGAGGCCCTGGCACTGGAATTTTAGATCTTTTAATTTGGCTTTTATCCTAATATTCTTGTTCCTAATATGTTCTTACAGATATGTCAGTATTAAGTGGAATAACACAGAGGCATATATTTGAAAAATACTAGGAGACAACTATCTGAGAAATTCTTCTCTCAGAATGGTGAACAAATAATACAATCTCTGATAGGGATGTTGAAAGAGAAATAACAGACCAGCTTTGGAAGGATATTAGTTTGACGTTTCACTACCTTTCCAGACACATAGTTCACTTTAATTATGTCTTCACTAGACCTTTAAAACAGTTTAACACTTAATGAAAACACTTTACCCATCTTTGATGCTAATTTTCAAATTTCCCCCATTAAACAGTGATTTCGACCCCTACAGGGAAAATATAGAAATATTTTTACATTTTCAGCTTTAGGACAGCCCAAATAAATGTTTGTTTCAACCACAACAGCAAATGATTTCAACCAAAACAAATGTTTTCTTTTCAAAGCAAATAGGTGAATGTTTAAATAAAAAGATAAGCTATACTATTGAGATTTTATTCAGAAAATGTTGGTTGGTATCATAGTCTATTAAATGTACTTTACTAACCCAGAATTAATTCCTTTTCCTGGTTTATAGGAGATGGTCCTTTTCCCAGTCTGATATGTTTGGTTTTGGAGGATTAAATGAGTCTTGAGCAAGTCTCCTTGTTTGTCAAGGTTTTGCTACTCTGGTTTTGCCATTTTTTGGCTATGAAGATCTACCTCCAGTCATGAAGGACTTAAATTCAGATTACTTTGAAGATGCAGCTAAATTTGTGCAAAGTTACCCAAAGGTGAGTGGGATGGAAGAGAGAAATATATTTAAGATGATCTCATTAAAGCCAGAAGAGAATAAAGTAATACTAATGTGTTGGAAAATAAATACCTGTTGTCTTAATAAATAAAAAAGAGCTATCTGATAAATCCATGAAAGGCTTTCCTTTATTGAGGAATTTGTGACCCCATTAACAATCACACTTTCTATTTCTCTGTTTCCATGTTTGTCTTCTTTTTCTTCAATGTGCAGGTTAAAGGTCCAAACATTGGAGTGATTGGTTCTGGCAAAGGGGCAGAGTTGGCATTTATCATGGCTAGCTTTCTTCCAAATACAGGTGTGGTTGTGAGTATCAGTGGCTGCATCTCTAATACAGCTACTGCCTTTACCTGAGGTGATTTAATCCTGCCAGGACTGCCCTTTAACGTAGGCAAAATCTCTGCCACTGATTCAGGAGTTTATGATGTTATATAAGCCCCAGAAGACCTCTTCGATCCAGTCCATCAGGAAAGCCGAATCCCTCTTGAAAGAGCCAGTGCCCATTTCTTTTTTATCACTGAAGAGGATAACAGACATTGGAAGACCTCTATTTATGCTGACATAGCTGTGAAGCACCTCACAGAGCACAGGAAGACAAATTTCAATCTTCTAAGCTACCCGTGTGCCGGCCACAGGATAGCTCTCCCTTATAGCCCTTTTTTCTCTGTAGCCTTGGATTCTGTGCGGAGGGTACCTGCTTTGCGGGGAGGGCAGCTCAAAACTCATGCTATTGCTCAGATAGTCTTAGAAGAAAATTTTAGAATTTCTGCACTTGCACCTAGGGTAAAAGTTAACTAGACAGTTAAATATAATTGTTTCAAGGCAAATCAGGGGACAAACTTTTTTCTTTTTCGGCTGTCTTGGGGATTAAGCCCTGGGCCTCAGGAACGCTGAGCAAGCACTGTACCGCTGAGCTATATCCCTAGCCAGAGTATTTTTCATAAATGAGGACTGAGATCTGAACTTCTCATAGGCATCTGTCAACTTTTAGAAGTGAAAATACTTGCTTCAAGAGCTTCATACTCTGTATCTTTGTTTCCTCATTTCTGGTTTGAGTTTTAACTCAGTAACTGCTAACTGAAAACCAGCTTTAAATCTGCCACTTAACCCACCCTTCTCACCTATCCTCCTACTCATCTATCTTTTCAAAAATTTTTTGAAAACCTGATGTATGATCATGAGTTTGCTGTATCTTCCCCAGAGGTTTAGAAGTACTTGGATAGGGGTGAATATATGGATTTATGCCCCTGCTATTATGATGAGAAGCCACTAAGTTACAATAATTTTTCTTATAATAGTCAGAGGCTAGATTTAATTTTAATAGGATGACCCAGAGGCTAATTGGTAAACTGAAGTCACAGAATCCTTTCTACTGTTAATCACATGGTGATATTCTTTTAGTTGTACTTCTTCTAGGATCTTTAGAGAAAGCCAGCAACCCAAAGATAACTGCCTTAAAAACAAAGAAAAGAAAGAAAGCAATTATTGAGAAACCCTTGCTTTCATTCTGTGTCTTTCTTTTATTGATATTAGTAGTTTTAAGGACCTTTCTTCATTCTTTTTTTTTTTTTTTTGCGGTACTGGGGATTGAATTCACATTTTTGTTTTAAAAAATACTTAAAACTAAGCAGATTCCTGACTCTAGTCCTAAATTGACAATTAACATGTAGGTAACTATATGGTAACTATACGAGAGAAAAGTAGAGTTCATCCTTTCTACTATCCACCTCCTCCACCAAAAAGTTGCAGTTTATGGGTAAGGTTTAATCTATTTTTTTTTTTTGGTACCAGGGATCGAACTCGGGTCCTTGCGCTTGCGCAGCAGGCAGCAAAACCACTGAGCTAAATCCCCAGCCCTGGGTTTAATCTCTTAATCTTATTTAACTTCTTAGTTTCTAAACTTTTATGATTTGTGGAGTTGGAACATGTAAAAAGCTAATTATTAGCCTTTAATTTGGTTAGTCAGTGGACCTTGTGCTCAAAACTAGTTGGGGGGCTCTTTTTTGAAGAGATTGAAGGATTGTACCCCTAATTTGTAGTATAGTCTATCCCCCCCAAATAACATTATTTTTAAAATTGAGTTCAAGTTTCAAATTAATATTAACAAAACAAAAAGTATATGTGTGTGTGTGTGTACCTCCTGATTTGGAGGGGGTTACATATAAGATTTTACAAAAAGGTCTACTGTAAAACAAACCAAAATTACAGTGATGGAGAAATAAGCTTTTTATCAAATAACTACAATGAGAATTATAATCTGAGAAGTTGACTATTGAAATTTGAGTCAATCCTCATTCTCATTCAAATTGATAAACCTCTGGACTATATAAACAACATTAAGAATTAGTGGCTATTATACTTAGTTTGCATAATCTCAAATCATCTGTTAGATGTGACAATTTTTATTTTTTGTCCAATTCACATTTTGGTTTAAAAATTAAAGATTTCTCGATCCCTAATTACTTGATTCTGTTTTCTGTCATTTAACACAATTTTACCTACACTTATCAAAGAGTCTGCCAGATTTTCTGAATTTTGTAAAACTGTTCCAACACTATTTTTGTTTATTTGTGGTATGGAAATTGAAATGAGGGTCTGGCACATGCTACCATAGGCCAGTGTTCTATCACTAAACACTTCCCAGCCTCTTCTATGTTTTATTTTGCTAAAATGCCGGTGTAATTAATTTGCAGATCTCCTGTCTCAGCCTCCCCAGTAGCTGGGACTATGGCCTAAGTCACTGCACACAGCTTCATTAATTTTTTCTTTTTCACTGCTGGGGATTGAACCCAGATCCTTTGCACTAAGCACTCCATTCCACTTTGCACTACATCTCCAGCCCCTTTTTATTTTTCAGTCTGCGATATCTCTCAGGTTTCTCTGCTAAGGCCTAAAATAAGATCAAACCAACTCAAAGCTATATTCTCTGGTGAGCAGCTGTTAGAATCTATTTGTTCATACTGCAGGACATAAAAGAAAAAAGGATCCAAGTTATGTAATTCTTTTGTTTCCTATGTGAATGATTTTAGCCTCAGAAAATCTGAAACTCAAAATGTTTTTTATGTGAAATGTGCCAAGGTAATGTGAATTAATTTATAGACAAGTAAATTTCTGATAATACACAGTTTATATTAGTGGTAAATAAAATATATTTGTAGTCAAAGTTTACTACTGCAATGACAAAAAGGAAATAGAAGCAATGCTATGAACAAGCATGATGATTTATTATTCCTCACTAAAACTAAATCCATAGGATATAATCCACAGTTTTTGTTTGTTTTTTTGGTACTGGGGATCAAACTCGGGTCCTTGCACTTGTGGGGCAGGCAGCAGAACCACTGAGCATTTAAATCCTCTGCAATCCACAGTTTTGAGTAAAATGAATATTCTGCCAAGTTATCAGAAATGATTGAGATTCAGATTCCCCTTATAATCATATACACAAAATTATCAGGAGATTTCGGCAGGCAAAGAAAAATTCTAGTTGGGACAAGTAGGAAGTGTGGAGGCTTCTGAAAAACACCCCAAGAGCAAAAACGGTTATGTTATGAATACACATTTTAATTTTCTTTAATAAACATTTCAGTTTGTTTGTTTTTTTTAAGAATGCACTGGGGATTGAACCCAGTGTCTCTGCACTGAGATATAGCTCCAGGCCTGTTTGTTTTTTTTTTTTCTTTTGGTATCGGGGATCAAGCTCAGGTGCAGCAAAACCACTGAGCTAAATCCCCAGCCCTAGGCCTGTTTTTAATTGCTTATTTGAAGACAGGAGTCTGTAAGTCTCTAAATTGCCCAAACTAGGCTCAAACTTCTGTCCTCCTGCCTCAGCCTTAAAAGTGCTGGGATTACAGGCTTTCACCATTATTCCTAGCTAGTATTTGTTATTTTTCTTAAAATATGATTCAATGACTTTTTAAAGTGAATTTTATTTACTTCAAAAATTAAGACATTCACATTACAGAATAATAAAAAAGACAAGCATTAGTTAGTCTGCTTGGGTTGATATAATACCACAGATTGAGTGGCTTAAACAATTCAAATATATTTTCTCATAGTTCTGGAGGCTGCATATCCAAGATCAAGGTGCTGGCAGAGTTACTTTTCAGTAAGGTCTTCACATGGCATTTTCTCTTGTGTTGGTGCTTCTGGTGTCTCTTACAATGTTTTTTTTTTTTTTTGTACCAGAGATCGAACTCGGGTTCTTGCACTTCCCAGCAGGAGGCGAAACCACTGAGCTAAATCCCCAGCTTTTACAATTCTTATAAGGACACTAGTCCTACTGGATTATGACCCCACTACTATGGATGCACATAAGCCCAAAGACCCTGTATCCAAAAACTATCACAGGTTAGGACTTCAACATAAGAATTTTGGGTTGACACAATTCTGTCCCTAACAGCCATTATACTTTAGTAATATGTATATGTGTGTACTATGTATACTTTTTAAAGAAGATCACTCTAATTTTTGTTTGATAACTTGTATTTTTACTTAAAATATCATGTGTATCTTTGTGTGTGAATAGATACCTTTCGGGTATTTTTTTTTTTTTTTTTTGGTACCGAGGATCGAACTCGGGTCCTTGTGCTTGAGCAGCAGGCGGAGAAACCACTGAGCTAAATTCCCGGCCCCCTTTCGGGTATTTTTAATAGCGCTATATCAGTATTCAAGACTACTTAGACAAGTCTCTTTTGTTGACAGTTTGGCATTCCTTTTTGTTATTAAAGCTTTGAAATATAAACAAATATATTTCTTTAGGATGACGTCACAGAAATGGAACTTATGGGATGGTCACAAGGAATGCAAAACTTTTTAAAGATTTTAATACATACTGCCACAGGCCTCCAGAAAGGCTGCATCAACTATAAACAGCAGTGTATTTGTGCATCTCTGTTCTCCATATCCCTAGCAACGCTATAAAAATACATATATATTTTCAATTCTTAGCTAATTTGGTTAAATGGGGAAAAGACACCCTAGATATGTAAAACAATATTTTGTGATATTTTACATGGAATGCGGAGTTTTCAGGGGTCTGAGGTCAGGAGATAAACCCGATCCATTTTAGCTTCTGGTACTCCCCGTCAGATAGCTACCCAGACGAATCACACCAGGTAGTTTATTCGCCCCCGTCACTCATCAGGGGAAAGGAATTTTAAAGGTTCTTTTAAGAGAAAGGGAAATGTTATCGAGGACAAGTGCCACACTTTTGATCAGCTGAAAATACTTTCAGTAAAGAAAACCACACTGGACCACAACTAGAGCTTTAATACTCACAGCCAAGAAGGAGGACCGCAGAGGCCGCCACGCCATCCCACAATGCTCCGCTCGCGCCACCCTAAGGGCGGAGAGAAAGGACCGCTGCCGGGGCAGGCATCCTCCGCGAGCTCCGAGAAGTGCGCGTGCGCACTAACCCAAGCGGGCCCTAGCAACCAGAGCAGTGACAGTAGCAACCGCCAGAATGGTGAGTACCCTCCCGGCCTCATAGCCAAAGCCAAGAGGAGATTGAGAGTGGAAAAGGATGGTTGTGAAGTATTGAAGGTGGCAGGGCCCTCGAACAGTGGAAGGGAGACCATAGCGGATGCTAGCTCCGTGGAGTCAGCGGCCTGAGGCGAAAGAGAAGCCCAGGCAGAGGGTGGTCTGGGGGTGAGGATGGCCTGGGCTGATTGAAAGTTAGGTTAAGGTGGAGGGACTCTTGACAGAAAAAAAGGAAGGGCGAAGAGCAAAAAATTCTCAACAAAGAGCGGTTCAGAGCGGGAAAGGTTGTAGGAAGAGAATTGTGGATAGATATCTCTTTACATAGCAGTAATTTTAATTGGCCTCAACACTGGTGAGATGGAGAGGGACGGGGCCTGGTTACCAGAGGAGTTCATGTGGCACGGATTGCACCAATAGTCATTCCTAACCTGCTGTGTACCGAGACTGCCTTGAGTGCAGTAAAACCCACTCTGATGGATCCAGTAGAGCAGTGTTTTTCAAATTTAAGTATGCATAAATATGGACTTGTTGGAATGCAGATTACGAATGTTTCATATGATTTGGGGTTCAGCCACATACCATTTCCACAACAGACCTCAAGTGATTCTAAAATTGGGTCACAACCCATCGCATTTTGAAAACGATTAGTAGTCTGTCCTATCAGAGCTCTTATGAAATAATGATTCCACCTAGTGATGCTCTCAACTCCTATGTAGTGTGCTATTCTCTGTCTTACCTACTTAGTAGTTCCAACTAGTAGTTTGAAAAGGACTCAGACAATACTACTTAGTTTTGATTGTTTTGCTGGATGTAGATGTTACTAAAGAATAAGTATTGGGGCTGAGAGTATATAGCTTAGTGGAAGAGCGCTTACCTAGAATGCAAGAGGCCCTGAGTTCAGTCCCCAGCACTACAAACCAGTGAACAACAACAAAACAACAAAAACAGTATAATTAGCAGTCGTGTCTGTGCGTGTGTGTGTGTGTATGTGTGTCTGTCCAGTGCTATGTAAGTGGGCAGAAATTGAGCTCAAGGAATTAAAACGATGAGGAAAGTCATTCCTGCCCTCAACCACAACATTAAATACCACTCGTTTCAAACCAGTTTTCCCCAACCTACCCTGCAGTCCTTACTTTATTCTACAGGCGTTTAGTTGAAATCTACTGTCAAGGAAAGTAAAAAGTTCCATGTATTAGGTGAAAAAAAGACTTGGCCTTAAAAAATTCTGGACCAAGGGATTATTAAAGATTTTCAAATAGAGAAGAGAAACGGTCATTGGATGAAGCTAGCTGAGGCTGCAAACTAGTAGTTCCAGGGAGCTCTGGAAATATAAGCATACATACTTATTTAAACTTTTTAAAAAAGTAGCTTCCAGTCTTAAAAAAATAATATTTCCACATTAAAACTCAGGTTTTTGGCCTCTGAAAAACCAGAAATACCATGTTTCACCATTGAACACATTTTTTTCATGTTTTAGCATTACTGAAATACAATGTCATATACTAATTGGCAGCATCTTTTCTTAATGGTACACGAAATAAGAGTGTTGCTTACCATTAGAGGAAATTTTAAACTCTTTTCTCCAAGTTTTACCTGCCAGCCATTATCTGGAGCTAAGTAGAACTTACCTCCTTTACATGGGCTCTGTCTTTACCTGACCAGCTTACCCATTAGTGATGTCCACTTGGTCCTTTAGGCAGTTGAGTTTTTGACTCGGGAACCACTACCCTATACCAACTTATATTACCGCGGTGAAAAGCTAGATTGCCTCTGTTTCCGCAAACGATATGAAATTGTTCATTTATGTATCTTTTTATAATCCATGCAAGGATTTCTCTGAGAAATACAATTAGTTGTAAATTGCTCAGTTATAAAGTCTATGAATACTTAATTTCCCTTAGGCACCTATCAGACCACTAAACTACACTCCCAGCTCTTTTTATTTTATTTTTAAACAGGATTTCACTAAATTTACCAGGCTGGCCTGGAATTTGCAAACTTCCTGTATCAGCCTCCTGAGCAGTTGAGGTTACAAGCATGCATCACCATACTCAGTATCAGAATATCAGTTCTTGAAACTTGTTAGAAGTCACTTGTTAAAACTGTCTAGGTTTGGAGCTTTAAGGGAAGAGAATGGGGGTAAATCTCTTTTTTGGTCCCAGGGATCGAACTCATGTCCTTTCACTTACGAGGCAGGTGGTGGAACCACTGAGGTAAATCTCCGGCCCGGTAAATCTCTTTATCATTTCAATTTTTAAGTGGTATCAGTCTATTAAAATTTTGATTTTTTGTGACAGTTTTGACACTTATATGTTTTTTATAGAAATGCATACTTGTCTAGGTTTTAAAACTGTTGCCATATTCTGCTCATGATATTTTATTTTTTAAATGTCTGTGTTATCTAGTTACTTCCTCTTATTCATTCTCCATTTCTAATTTGTGTATATCTTGTGTTTTTTTGTTTTTTTTGTTTTTTTTGTGGTACCTGGGATTGAACTCAGGACTTTGCACTTGCAAGGCAGGCGCAGTGCCACTGAGCTAAATCCCCAGTCCATGTATGTAGTTCAGGCTGGCCTTGAACTCACTGTATGGCCCAGGATGACTTCGAACTCAAGGTGATCCTCCTGCCTCAGCCTCGAGTCCTGGGACGATAGGCGTGCACCACCACCCTAGCTATTTTGTTTTTCATTGATTTCATCCTTTACATTTCCTCTGTCTTTGAATTTACAATGATGTACTTTTAAAAAATGTCTTGAATGCTTAACTCACTTGTTTTTAATTTCTTGTTTTAAAATTTTTTATTAATATGTTTGTAACACTAATAATTATATTCATTTTGGGGAATTCTACATATGGCATCTTGATCGTTTTTATTCTCCTTTTCTCCTGTCTCCTCTTCTCCATTCCCAGCTCCAAAAAGTCTGTCTTCTGGTTTCCTATCACCTTTCCTTTATTTTCTCTTTAAATTCTTTATATTTTGGGGGTTTTACATATGAGAAATGATGTGACATTTAACCATCTGTGTCTGATTTATTTCACTTAGCATTATGGTCCCAAGATCCATCCACTTTCCTACAAATGACTCAAATTTATCTTTCTTTATGACTGAATAGTTCTCTGTATGTATATACCACATTTTCTTTATCCATTGATGGACATGTAGGATGCTTCCATAATTTAGCTATTATGAATTGTGCTGCTATAAACATGAGTATGCATGTAGCCCTGTAATGTGATGACTTTAACTCTTGGAGACATATTTCCTTCTTAGTGTTATATACCTCAATTTATGATATTTTTATTTTTAAATTTATTTTTATATATATTTTTGGTACCAGGAATTGAACTCAGGACCTTGCACTTGCCAAGCAGGTTCAGGTGCTGCTGAACTACATTCCCGGCCTTATTTTATATATTTTTGATGCAAGCATTATTTATCAGTACATATTTACTTTCTAGACATAGTGATGTCTTAAAACTTTCTTTTTGTTATTATTTAGGGTTCTTTTTTTAATGAACTCCAGCAATAATTCATTAAGGACATTTTCCCTTGTGTACCTTCAAAGATTTATATATAATATTGTTGAATCTAAGATAATATTGTAAGAAGCAACATTATTTTATATTATAATACTAAGAAAATTAAGTTGGACAAATTCTTTTTTTTTTTTAGTTTGAGACAGGCTCTCATCATGTAGTTCAGGCTGATCTTGAACTCACTATGTAGCCCAGGCTGGCCTTGAGCTTACAGTGATCCTTCAGCCTCAGCCTCCCTACTGCTGGAATTACAGGTGTAGGCTACCACAGCCAGAGACAAATGCTTTCTTATCACTTAGGATTTTTATTTTGTAATTAATGACACAGTTTTTGTTTTATTTTTGTTTTTGCAGTGCTGGTTTTTTAATCTAGGACCTTACACATGCTAGGCAACTGCTTTTCCACTGAACTACATCCTCAGTCCTCTTTTTACTTTTTTTTTTTTTGGTACTGGGGATCGAACTCGGGTCCTTGTGCTTGCAAGGCAGGCAGCGGAACTACCGAGCTAAATCCCCGGCCCCCTCTTTTTACTTTTGATTGCGATCCTCCTGCCTCAGTCTCCTAAGTAGCTGGGATTATAGGTGTTCACCACCACATCTGGCTGATAAGAGTTCTTTTAAATGTTTTAGACTGACAGATTTTTGTCATATGTCATCCTTTGTAAACATTAGAAGGAATATATGTATATGAAATAAAATTGTCAATATTTTCCTAAAAGTTTACCACTGCAATCCTGCCACAGCAATTGTAAATTATTGATTATAAGATACAGGAACATTTCGGTATTAAAATAGAAAAAAGAGATATAGATTTTAAAATCAATGAAATAAGATATATATTAATATCAACTTTTGAAAGCTATATATTTTTGGTAAACCATGTGGGAATGAAATGTATGGGCATTACATAATGATTTCCTTTGAGAGGCATTTAAAGAAATCATTTTGATTTCAGAGATTAGAACACCATCTTACCTATAAAGTGAAAGAAAGAAATTAATCATTTTAATGGTAGAACCCAAGGCTAATAACTTTTGCATGAAAATTAAACAAATCCCACTAGTAAAGTCAGCTTTGTTTCTTTTTCTTCTTCCTCTTCTTTTTTTTTTTTAAGGCAAAAGCAACAACAATCAAAGAGGCCTTAGCCAGATGGGTGAGTATATGAGTTTTTCCTTCTTTTAGAAACCATAGAAGGAAATTTTGGATAGTTATTTAAGTCTGACCATTCAGCATGAGGGATCCTTGAGGAAATAGAACTGTTCTGTGGTAGTGGATGCATGAACCTGCACAGTGATAAAATTGCATAGGATTTGAGTTAGGGCTGTAGCTCAGTGGTAGAACATTTGCCTATTATGTGCAAGGCCCTAGATTCAATCATCAGCACCCATTACCACAAAAGAAAATTGTATAGGGTTTAATACATACACATGTATATATATTCTCAATACAAATGAGCCCAGATAAATTTGGGAAAATCTGAATAAAATTGATGGATTGTCTTAATAGTAATACCCTAGTTATAAAATATTATAGTTTATAGAATAATATCATTGGAGGAAACTGGGCAAACTATACAAGGTATTTCTCTGAGTCCTTCTGTTTGTTTTTATTATAATGAGGATTGAACCCAGGGCTTTGCACATTATAGCCAAACACCCTACCACTGAGCTATACCTCCATCACTTGCATTATTTTTTATAACTCCAAATGCATCTTCAAGTATCTCCATAACAATTTCAGATAAAAAATTCTGACCACTTGAAAATTTAACAATGGAAAATTTGATTCATCTATTGCTATAAAATGGCTGCAGTGTTTGTGTCACACTACATTTTCTGTTTTGACTTCATCATTAGACTATATGTCACTTTAAAGTGACAGAGTGTTATGTATTGTAGATTATCTAGGCTGGTAGTGGCAAACCTATGGCACATATGCTGCAGCAGGCTGTTTGTTATCACTGAAAGCTCTAAAAGTTTTGCCATCACTGTTCTAGGCTTTATAGAAAATGGTTTTAGCCTCATAGAAATGAGGACAGAGACAGCCGATGTAGACAAATGTATATCACATGCAGACAACTGAAAGAACATGGAGTAAAAAATACTAACATGTAGTAATGACACGGGAAATAATACCAGAGATGAAATATGAAATATATCTCTTAACCTGTTAGCTGTCTGATATGTGGAGCTCATGTTCTCTAAAAATCGAAGAATGAATTCTAGGAACAACAGAGTTAAGAGTAGGAATTAGGAAGATTGATAGGATAGCTCCTGAGAGGCAGGAGGAGTCCGGAATGAGTAGCCGGTACTCTACTCTATAGGGGAGTTTTATAGAGCAAAACCCACCTGGGTACAATGTGGACCACAGCCATGATCAACCAATAAGATTACAAGTATAGTCACTTAGGTAACAGTGGTCCAATTGGGAAACAAGTCACGTAACAAGCGTGGATGGAAAGAACAAAGATTTCTCCTAGGAAATGGTGGATCCAGAGGTTTCTGGCCACAGTTGTAGTGTGTTTAACCTTTGTCCTGACTCTCTCGAGGACCTAGCCCTATCTGTCTATAATATTTCTACCAACTCAGCTGTCTATAATAGTAATATTAGAGAGGAAACCACATTGTCAAAAACATACATTAAATATACACTATAAATATTTTGAGTATTGTAACATTATAGTTTCAAAAGTTGTAATTCAGCATTTTAGATAGAATTTGCATAGATTCCAGAGATGACTCTTTAATTTCTGTGCCCAGTGATAACTTCATTGTTTATGCTATGTAGTTTGTTGGATAATGTTGAATACTTTGCTTTTGTAGCTAATTTGAATAAAAGTCTTTTAGGAGCCTTGGTGTCTAGGGAACAGAAAAAAAGGTGAATTAAATAATGAAATATTTCAATTTTTGTTCTAGTACTTATAAATTTCTTGTTTACTCTAATTGCATTTTAAAGTTCATTTCTGTTTGATTAAATATCTAATAAAATATGTTTTATTAAAGAAAAAATAGTATGGAATAGACTCAGATTTTATTTTCCTTGAATTGGATTTTAGAATTTTATCTTATTTATTTTTAGTAACTAGAGCTTTTGTTTGTTTGTTTTGGGTTATAACTTCAATTTCTGGCTTATATTATCACCATCAGTCTTTGAATTTAAGATTATTTGAAGGCATCAAGCTCACCCTTTAATTGATTAATCCAATACTTTTCTTTAACATTTAAAAAATTCTTCATTGACACATAATTATACATGTTTGTGGGGGTAACAATGATATCCATCATCTCAAACAATTATCATTTCTTTGTGGTAACAACATTCAGAATCCTCTCACAGCTATTTGAAATATATGTATATATACGTATTTTGGGGGAGTACCAGGGACCAGACTCAGGTCCTTCCGCTTGAGAGACAGCTTGAGAGGCAGGCACGGGAACCACTGAGTTAAATCCCGCCCCCCCGCCCCCCAGCTATTTGAAATATGTAACACGTTAGTGTTGACTCTAGTCATCCTGCAGTGCTGTAGAGCACTGGAATTTATTCCCCTTATCTCACTGTAATTTGGTACTGTTGACCAAACCTCTTCCTATCTTTCCCTTCCCTCTTCTCTTCCCAGCCTCTGGTTACTACTATTCTGCTCCCACCTTCCATATATGTGTCTGACACATTTTACTTAAAATGAATGAGTTTTCTAGGCTCATGTTGCCACAAATGATAATCTAACATTTATTAAAGACTTACTAGGTGTTAGTTTCCTCTCTCCTAACTTACAAATGTATGGCACAAAAATAAGTACTATATGGATGTCTTAGATTTCTTTTGTCCAGTTAGTTAATTTTATATTTTTTATTCTTGATATGTGATGATCTGATTTTTTAAATGTGCCTTTTTTGTGTCTTACAGTGTACTAGACTATAGAAAATATAGGAAATAGTCTCTGAACTTCAAGTTTTGTTAGAATGATAGAACTTACTCTAAGCAATGAAGTGATCAGAAAATATTAATAGGCAACAAATACTGAGAATTAAAATTGTGTGCTTATACTAAAATTAAATTTTGAGGCAGGATCTAGTAGTTAATTAGAGTGGAGCAGATAGCTCTGATCATAACTATATTGTAAAGAGAATGTCTTTTTAAATTCTTATTATCCATATATAGAAAAAAAGAAGATGAAATGACAAAACAATTGATCTTATGGGTGTGAATCTAACATTTAAGAAAAGCGCTTTTTAGGGACAAGGAATTCTTTCTGGGAAAATGTTTTTGTTGTATTTTGCCTTTGTTTAATAATTGAAACACTCTTAAATAAATGATCTTAAATATTACAAAATGAAAGTTATTGTCTTTTCTCTTTATTTCTGTTTGGCAAGGTAATAGTTCCCTTATTCAGCCATGTAAAACTTTGCTATTAGGGTCAGCAATTAAAGGTTCCAATAAGTGAATGGTAAATATTTGTTAAACAGTTATGAAATTCTAATAATTGTTTTGAAATAAACATTGAAAGCCACTGGGAAATTCTGGGCTCTTATTGCACATTACAACCAGGGATCATTTTGTTCCAAATTAATTTTTCCCACAGGAAGAGAAAACCGGTCAGAGGCCATCTGAAGCCAAAGAGATAAAGCTTTATGCCCAGATTCCACCAATAGAGAAGATGGATGCCTCCTTGTCCACACTTGCTAATTGCGAGTAAGTTCTCTTTTTTTCATATATCTAGTATTGCTATCAGGTTTTCCTTTCTTCTCTTAACCACACAAACTGGCAAGTATTTGTTTTCTGTGATTTTAATTTATGTATTTTTTCTTTGTTTATTATAACTTTCTTTTGCCAAGACCAAATATAAAAGATTATTGCTTTATATGATGATTAATAGAGTAATACTGAGCAATACAGTATTTTTTTCTGTACAATTTTTATATTGTATTTGGAAATAGAAATTTCTTAGTCTTTTGGGAGAAGCTAAGTAACACAATAAACTCTTATTCTGTTATATAGTCTACTGCTTTCTCTTATGAAATTATCTACCAGAGCCAGGGATGTAGCTCAGTGGTGCTGCACCTGCCTGGCAAGCACAATGTCCTAAGTTCAATTTCCAGTACCAGAAAAAAAAAACTTATCCCCCAAAGTTAGAACTACTTATTTATCTGAGATAACTAAGATAATCTTAATTTCTAAAAAATTTTGAGTTCAACTTATACTTATTTTGTAGTCCTATTACCTATGACATTAAGTACCAGATCTATACTAATTCATTTTCATTTATTTTCTACATATTATTCAAATTTTTTAAAGCAAGATTTGATGGCTAAGTTGAGGCAATTTTCCCGTGATACCTTATAACCATGTTTTTAGGCTCCAGTGTCTCTTCTCGGGACTACTCAATACCATACATTCCCTGACGTTCTTTCTGACGTCTTTTTTTTTTTTTTTTTTTTTCTGGGGATCGAACTCAGGACCTTGTGCTTGCCAGGCAGACGGTGGCACCACTGAGCTAAATTCTTCTTCTGACATCTTCATCCTGTGTTTGATACTCTCTGGGATGCTTTTTTGGCTTCAGGGATGCTTTTAAAGT